TTGTATGTCTTGTTCAAACACTTGGGATCGGCACAGGACTAGACGGTTAGTATAAGAACGTAGAGGCACAGGACCATGATATTTTTCCTGAGTTAAATATCTTCTTCTTCTTCTTCTTCTTCTTCTTCTTCTTCTTCTTCTTCTTCTTCTTCTTCTTCTTCTTCTTCTTCTTCTTCTCCTCCTCCTCCTCCTCCTCCTCCTCCTCCTCCTCCTCCTACTACTACTACTACTACTACTAGAAAGATGAGGGGGCTCTCGTGGCCTAGAGGTTAAGGTGTTGGCCTCTCATTCTAAAGGTCCCGGGTTCGAATCCGGGTAGCGACCGAAAAATTTTCTTCTCTAAATTTGTCTCCTTTCACCTCATTTCCTGCTCTCTAGCTATGTTCTGTCGTATGCTTTCGTCTCCTCTTTCTGCCACCCCCCCCCCCCCCCAAATCACCTCCTTTGCCCATTCCTCTGGGCTCCTGATTCTTTCTGCTGCCTACCTACTGCTACTCCTTCGCTTCTTCTTACTGCTGTCTTTCAGCCACTCCCCTGATCTTCTGGTAGGAAAGATCTACACCTAGCCTTCTCCGACATGGGCGAAAAATCTCGGAGGGCCCGTGTGCAAGTTGCGCACGTTAAAGATCCCTTGGTGGTCTAAAATCAATAAGAGTAGGCTTCGGCCGCCACCCGGGCAAAATTCAAAATTTCCTACCAACTGAAAATATTAGGTGTGTCCCGCGAGCTCATATGACCATATGCAGTTGCGGGCGCCGTAAAACACTTTACAAAAACAAACAAACAAAAGAAAGATGATTATTGTAATATTATTGCAGTCTCTATTATTAATATTATATTATTATTATATTTAATATTATTATTATTATTATTATTATTATTATTATTATTATTATTATTATTATTTAATAATAATAATAATAATAATTATTATTATTATTGTTATAATTGTTATTGTAATTGTTGTTATTATTGTTATTATAATTTTCATTGCTACTAGTAAAAGTAACGATTAAATAATTATCATTTTGTTGAATTATGATATATTTAAATCTAAACGTTGGCAGGCGGGGGGGGGGGGGGGTGGTGGTTGTTAAGTGGTTTAGTGAGGGACGAGGCGTCCTTTAAATTTTGTATACCAAGTTATGCCAGTGATAAGCTGTTAAATTGGTGACCACGGTGGTCGATGTGTCCTTGAGCGTGACCTTATTACCACAGTCCTAATGCCCAGTGCACCCTTCCGATCGAATTCATTAAATTCATTCGGGGCCAGCAACACTTTCCTTCATCCTTTGACAGAATTAGACTAAACTCGACTGTGACCATCAAAATCAGAGGTGATTGTTTTCAAGGTAGTGAGTTCAATCGGTCGTATCGTGCTAAAATGGTAGCTTTTGCCCTTCCAAGGAGGAAACTCTGGCTGGGACGGACTCAATTTTATTGTTGAATCCAATTGACAGAGTGCACTGGGTATAAAACACGGACCTGCCTGATGGCAGTGAGCAAAGTTGTGTTCGGTAAAAAATAGTTGATACAGAGTACTTATGGTTTAATATGATTAAATAAGCATCATGTGGTGTGCTTTAAGTTATGGAATTATGGATACATTACAAATGGAAGAAACATGGCAAGCTTTATTTGCTCAATCTTGATAGAAAATAGTTATATTTCTGCTCCTTCTCTAAGCTGACAAATCTACTGTTGATTTAGGCTAGCTAATTAATTACTTTTCAACTGATAAAAACAATTGTAAAACTATCCCATTCCACTAAGTCATCGTGATTTTTTTGTTACAGTAACAAGGTCAATGACTGGCCCCCTTTTTTAAAATCTTATCAACAACAAAAAATAGGGTAGAGACAAACCGATTTCACCAACAGTAATACTAGGCTGTGAAAGGACGGTGGGATCAAGTATATGCCCGCCAAGAACATACCCTGAGACATTAATTATCGTTTACCTCATAAGCCGTAATTATAACTTTTCGTGTTCAATGTTTCGCGTGGGAATGAGAGTACAGATCACACCCAGTGGAGAAATAAAAAATAAAAAATGGTGATTAAACAGTTTAATAATGAAAGGCAATCGACAAGAATTGGGAATGTGTCTGCGTATGTAAATTTTGACTTTTGCTTTCGGGGACTCTTTTGAGTATTCTGCACTTTATATTTCGAGGATATCTGTTCTAGAACCGAAGTTATGGTGAAAAGAACTATAACATTTTGGAAAAAAAACCCCTCACACGAACGGAGTAAACCGACACTCAGCCTTTTTGCAGAAAGGACTTGATTCAGGTGCTCCTTAATTGCGTATCGAAAGGGTCATGAGTTTAAATTGTAAAAAAAAAATTCAGATCTTCATATTAAAATGTTACCTTTCTTCTGTTTTGCCCTTCAAAATAAATATCTACTTCTTCATAATACGTTGAGATTGGGGATAGGGTATTTACTATTCAGAGAGGATCTCAGTGACAGATTCTTCATTTTTAAAAGTAGTATTTTTTACCCTCCTCCCCAAATCGAAAAAAAATTAGATAATTTAGAAAGCAGCTTCCGATCTAGCCTGTCAGGGCCAACACGAGCTAAGAGAGATACAACATCGCAGCAGAAAGACCGTGATACACACACAAAATCCCTCCCACTTGGGAATTGAACTCGGTTGTCCTGCGTGCGACAGCAAAGCGCCTAACAGCTACACTACAGACTCCGGTAGCGACACTTTCGATTATAATTTTTCAGATTTTCAGAGGATAAAGTCGTATAGAAGACTCATGGGTAAACATTTCGACTGCTCATCTCACTTATGATTTGTGTCCAGCCAGTTGGGGGTGGCTTACACGCCTCCCTCACTAGCAGATGTCAATTTGTTACCTACTGGTCAACTTGGTTGAACAGTGGGAGCAACATACGTAACATAATCGGTTCATTCATTGAAGGGACTAACAATAATGACTGACGAATGGATTATGACGGCTTGTGCACAGCATCAGGGGCCGATATATAATTTATAACAAAGCTTCGAGCTATGGAAGAACTGAACTTGCGAACAATTTTTTTGGGGGAGGGCTGGGTAGTGAGGTTGTTCGTTGATGAAATGTAGCGGCCACGTCGGACAGGTTATCGTCTTAGTCAATGCTATCACAATATAAAAAAAAATGGAAGGGGCAAGATGGAAATTGACCGATTGTATAGGAGGCGGCCGTTATGACAGCTTCGACTGTACGTGTCTTCATGCGAACACTGACTCCCCTCCAGCAACTGAAGTGTGCAGGTAAGATTGATAGTCGAATATTTCTGTGACCTACGCAATTTCACGTCCTGCCCCCCCCCCCAACTTATGGAGAGGTCGTTGGCCTAATACTATACTCATACCGTGGCCTTTCTCATCACAGCTACTTCGGTCGAGTTTAATGTGATCCTCCCTTGCTGACGCCAACTACTTTCGTTATGCACATATTATTGTTATTGCTATGTGCGAGTTTGAATTCAAAGAAATACGTGGAAACAATTTGAGACCTTAGAATATGTTCGCCATATGCCTTTTCGCTATGTAAGTTGTAAGTGTTCACTAGGTCCGTGCTAGACTGCGTATTTGTAGACCTATATAAAAATCCCAATTCTTTGTAAACTATAGAATAAAAGCTGATCGTTTTGACACTTAACTGATTTTGCTCGCACAATTTGCTGTTGGTATGGCCACTGATCGAATAAAGGCACATCAATTTGCGCAAGTCTTTCAGAATTTTTTGTCTAGTTATTGTTCTGTTTTTCTGCTTCTTCTGTCTCTGTGTTTCAAAATCCGTCTTGATACAGAGGTTAGAATATAGGCCTAGGTTTTCTCAAAGTGACCAGATCGTAATGAAGGCATGGCCTTTTAATCCTCCGAACAATAGTATACTCACTTGTCTTGAACCTAAGAAAGAGAGATAAGAAAAACCCAACAAACTAAATGACAAAGAAATAGCTTTCCCGTTTTTACTCTGAAATCACGGACAGTATGACAAAATGATTGATTTTTAAGAAGTTGTACAGTTTTACATTTTTCTCAGTTTTTGTTGGAAATTTTTGAAACTTGATAGCTGTCGAACATGTTTATCGACTTTCTTTGACCAACTTAATCTCTTCATGGTTGAATTTTATTCATTCAAAGTTTTGTTGAAATTGATGCAACGATGATCTAGTTATTGTCCTTTAAATGGATTCTCTTCTTTTAAAAACCCTACGCTACGTACCATAGGCAAGTCAGCTAAAATGAAGCATATAGATAGTATTGAACTATGACTAGTTTTGCGAAACCTTCAGGTCAATGGAACCCATCAGGAATATTTTTTTGCCCACTGTCGTTCGTTGGCCTGGCCGTCTGTCCGTAGATGATGTTCCTTTTCCGCCTTGTCTCTTTTCAATATCTTTTTCTTCAACCCAGAAAACTGATCCGAGGGTCGGGATGGGTGTAGTTGTGGATGAGGAAGGGGGGAAGGGGGAAAAGAGGGGGAGGAGGGCCTCACTTTAACTTTGATTGAACACTGCATATACGAGATTGACAGATAGATAAACAATGACTTAAATTTCCTTTTGGCGGATGAACTTGAAGTTCTGGCGATTTTTTGTTTTTGTTTTCTTTTATTGCTTTTTCCCTCGCAAGTTTTGACGTGAAGTGGCACTTAATCGTTTACATCCCTGATTATCAGTTCAGTGTGATCTATATAGATAGGGGTATCAATATCGTACCGTGACCGGCTCATCCCGGAGACCCACCGTGTCGTAGTGGGAGATAACGTAGCTACCCAGCCCGTCGCAACTAGATATAGATATTGTGTGTGTGTGTGTGTGTGTGTGTGTGTGTGTGTGTGTGTGTGTGTGTGTTGCAGTAAGTGTACTCCTATATTGTTATACCATTCAGATAAAAAGTCGGGTTTTGGAAGATAAAAGGACGTGTTGATTATTCTGCTGGCGTCTCTGAGCATTGATTTATCAACGTTGTATTATCGAGGCAAAACGCTTTCTGTGGGAGTTTCAGAGTCACATTATACGTGAAGTAAATGATCTTGGTACGTCAGTCAACTGAGAAGAAATCACTTTACTACTTCTATAAAGAGTGGTTTAAAGTCAGAAAGTACAGAAGAATTTGTAAATCGTTGTGGAATTAACTAAACCCTTTACCTGGACCGTAATTCGGGAGAGTATTTTAAAAAATATTAATTCCGAAGAACAAAGATGTAAGTTTTCAATTGAAAACTTGCGCTCTGGTTAGATATTAAGAACCGTGTCAACATTTAAGGGTCATAAGTGATTCAACGGAATACAGCCACTGACGAGCCATTACCGATGTCAGAGTGAGAAGGAAGAACAGCTCTACTTTGTAAACATCAAGGAAAACTTACAATGGAATGGGAGATTACTTTCATGTTAGCTTTCCTGTTCCCGTGGACTTGCCATTGTTACCGTGAGTACTGCTCCTCTTTACTTTCTTTTTCTGTTTATGACTTTGATCATCATTATTGTTATCGTCCTCGTTATCATCCTCGTTATCTATACAATCATCATCTTTGTAAATGTGTGGTCCAGGGAGGAGGGGTGGGGTGGGGGGTGGGGAGAGGGCTCTCATGGTGTTAGAGATTACGGTGTCTGCCTCTCATTCAATAGCGCCCAGGTTCGAAACCTGACAGCGACAGAACATTTTTGTCTCTATAATAGTTCTCCTTTCACCTCATTTCCAGCTCTCCATCCATTTTTTTTACCCTCTGCTTTCGTCTCCACTTTCTGCCCCCCCCTTCCCCCCCTCCTCTGGGCTCCTGACTCTTTCTGCAGCCTTTCTTGTGCTACTCCGTGCGCGTGGTTCCTTCTCTAACTGCTTGTCTTTCAGACACACCCCGGATCTTAGGGTAGGTAAGATCTAACTTCTAGCCTCCTCGGATATGGGCGAAAAAATATCGAAGGTCCCGAGTGAAAGTTGCGCACGATAAAGATCCCTTGGTGGTCCAAAATCGATAAGACTAGGCTTCGCCTGCCGCCCGCGCCAAATTAAAAATAATTTCCTACCAAACAGAACATATCAGCGTGTCCCGCGAGCTTATATGATTTTGTGCAACAAAAAAACAGAAGTACGGTCGGGCGGACGTAGACAAAAAGTCTAGTAAAACTGATCATTGAAGGACATTTTTGACAAATAAAATATTAAAACTAACACAGTATTTCAACACGAAAGCTTCCCCGAGAACGACTGAGAAATAAGAGTGCTGTTCATAGGGAGAAAGTCTCTTAATTTATGTCTCTGCCTCGGAGGTCTTTCCTTTTCCAAGCAATCCAGCTCATGCTTTAGTGTGATGCTTGACTAAGGTGTTTATTACGTCTGCAGGTCTGTCTGTCTGCCTGTCTGTCTGCCTGTCTGTCTGTCTGTCTGTCTGTCTGTCTGTCTGTCTGTGTGTCTGTCTGTCTGTCTGTCTCTGTCTTTATGATAAGACATTGTATTTCTCTCAGTCCATAGCGGCCATGGCAGGCAGGGTCGAAGCCCCCCTCCTTAATGATCTAAATGTTTCATTAAGAGCGTAAAAATGCTTAGGGTAAAACAAAACAAAACAAAACAAAAATAGAAACAACAACAAAAACAAAACACCCCCAACCCAACCCCCCCACCCAAACAAACAACATACAAATAACAAAACTATAGCAACAACAACAACAACAAAAAAGAAAGCATACTGATGTATTTCATGACATATTTTTAAAGAGTGTTCACTCTTTTAAAGTGACCCTTCCAGCAGATCCAAAAGATTATAACAACACAACGTGCTCATTGAACAAAGGGAATGTAACAGAATGAAGAATTTAATTTTGATAACGATTTATCGGGAACGCCGAGGTCATGTGCTAGAACGTTATCTCGTGTCCGAAACTGCTCGGATACCTTAACAAAAGTCGAGGGGAATCCCCTTCAGCTGACAAGTGGTGAAAACCGACAGGTGATAAACGGAGCAAACGCTGGCTACACTTGGAGATATTAGTTATTATGTGTTGCCATGGCGAGAGAAAGAGAGCGAATGAAAGTTTCTCTGTTAAGGGGACCAACCGAAAATAGTTTGTTTTCATTTTTAAACTATGTATAAATATATATATAGATA